CAGCCAGCCCGGGTGCCAGCCGGTGAGTGCTGGGAAAAGGTACCAGTCTGTGCCAGTGGCTTCACCCCATCCCTCCCTCCCTCCCTCCCTGCCTCCCTCCCTGCCTCCCTGCCTCCCTCCCTGCCTCCCTGCCTCCCTCCCTGCCAGCCATTTGCCCACCCCAGCACAGCTTCAGCGGTCATGCTCAGCTTGGGTAGAAAGCACTGTTAATTCATTAACAAAGGTCACTCTGCTCATATGTGAAGGAAAACCTGGAAGCTTGCGAATCCCAGCATGTGGGCATGCAGCGGTTGCAGTACAGCTCACGCCCGTAGCTCCTCAGGGCTGCCCAGGCCTTGCTGCTCACGGAGGTAACCGGTGGCCGTCGCTGAGGCCGTGGGCGCTGGGTGCTGTTCCCACTCCCTCGGCCGGTGCTGCTGGCAGCCGGGTCTGCTCCGCCAGCTGCTCACATGCGCCGGTGAGCAGTGCCTTGGCTCCGGGGCTTGGGAGGGTAAGCGAGCCCCGTGGCTGCTGTTACAAAGCTCTTCGACACTGAGCAGTACAGAGGGCAGGAGGAAGGATCAAGGCTGGGTTTGTGCCCACACCAGGGGTGCAGGGGGTTCAGGAGCAGCTTGGCTCTGCAGCATGGACTCCAAGCTAGGTTGGATCCAGCTGCAAAATAAACATTTTCCTGACCAAAGCTGTTTTGTAGCTGATTGACAGAAAAGGGCAAGGTACAGAAGTCTGTCCTCTGTCTTCTGCATCCCCCCCTGCTTGACACGGGAGCACAAGTGCCACATTAAAGTTAGTTTAGAATGATGATCGTTGCAGGTCCCTGCCAACAGAAATATTCTATTCTATTCTGTTCTAAAGCAGAATAAAAATAATTTTAAAATAAGTTTAGTTCTTTTCATACCAGTTCACTGCATTAGTCTTAAAGTTCTATTGCCCCAGTAATTAAAACTATAATTATTCATTCCATACCAACAAGTACATCTATATTTAAAATAAAAATGTGCTGTCAATAGGGCATGCTGGTAAGTCCTGTTTTAAAGAAATTGCTTATATCCCTTTGGAATTTTATCTGCTGCTTACAAAGTGAGACAAGAAAATTGCTCAGAGGAGTTGAATGTAAATATTATCATTTGCAACGTAAAATGGAATTATCAATACTAATGCACGAAACAAAGCCTGCCCAGCTGACAGCTTGCAAGACAGCCTCCAGGACAATCTTCCACTAGCGTATAAAATTATACATCTCATCTGACAACTAGTCTTGGTGCAAATGGGAGTGATGTCATCCACTCCCAGTTGCCAAGAGGCTGAAAAGTCTTGCATGAGGTTTACAATTTGTTTATTCTTACCAGTCACAGAGGCCGAGGCGTACTTCTCGCCCTATAAATCCTTACGTAATACCCATGTCTAAGCAGAGGACAGGCAAGTAAGCAAAGTGCTGTGTATAAAACTGCACCAGCTACAGAAAAAATAGACATACACAGCATGTTGAGGAAGTGAGCGTAGCATAGCTAGGTTGTCCCACACTAACTTTAACTGAACTACAGCAAATTAGTATCAGTGGGGGGACACATCACAAAATATCAACCACAGACCAATCCAGCAGTCTTGGGAGAGTTTACAGTCTCATTTTTAGCCCGTGCTGAAGCTGTGTCCCATATCCGCCTGTGCTATTCCGTATTGTATTTGAATGTAACACTACTGTACAGACGTATCTGAAGTCTCACTCCTACGTGCAGTGAACATGATAACCGAACTTCTGCCCACTGATACTCCTTCCAATGGTTTGTATCTATTATGTGCAGGGTATGAAGCAAGCACGGATGTCGCTATAGCATGTCCTTGGCGTGCCAGCTGCTGATACACTGTTTTGTGTAATTACATCACAAAGCTCTACAAAGTATGTTGGATTTTCCAATTCTAAAAAAAAAAAAGAATAATCATCAGTTTTGAGTCCATCTTCAAGCTTATTTAAATCTAGTTCTAAAGCATCTGGATGACTACAAATGCCAAGTGTATAAAACAAGTGGATTCCTTTAACAATTTTTTAAATTGTTAGCTTGTGTGTTTTATCCTACAAGCCCAATTGACACAAGTAGTCCCTGTAACATCTGTGGTATGACAACACGAATGACTGATCATGTAACCTTAAAATGAAAAGTAAAGTAAAGTAAAATTAAGTAAAACCTTAAATGGGAGGATGTCTTTCATCCTTCTGAATGTTAAACAACAATATTAATAGTTGAAATTGCTATTAAACCTTTTATCTGTATTAACAAGGACTTGCAAGTTTTAAAATCAAATGGTTCTCTTTCCAGCTCTGTGACTTGGGGATAGTATCCGTTTAACTGTGTGGATTTCTCCCATTTATGCCGCCTTTGAAGTTTTGTTTCTTTGGTTTTGTTAACCACTTTATTTCATAACTCACATCCTTTAAGTTACATACAAAAAAAAAACCCTTCCAACATCAGTGTGCTGATCATGCTTTATTTTATTAAAATAAGTTACAAGACTCCAGATTACTCTCCCATTTAACGGGCAGATGACATAGGCACATTTTTTACTCTGCCTTGCCATTTCACAGTTTTACATAACGGGATATACCATATCCATTCATTTTTTTCTGTATTTACTTTTAAATAAGAGAATAAAAATGCAGTTACCGCAGAAAAGCAGTACCTGCTGTACTACTTGTGGTACAAACTGAAGCACAGCAGGTATAGGTAGCTTATGTTTATAAAGTCACTCTACATGAAGAAACTCAGGGTCACTGCATTTTCAAGACTGTTGTCTTCCTGAAGTCTTCTTGACGTTTGTCAATACTAACAAACCAACTGCTGTTTTGTAAGCTGTGCAACAAAATAAAGCTTGCTGAACACCGTAAGAAGGATTGCTTCTGAAAGATTATTTTAAATAGAATGATAGCTCAGACAACCTACTGTCTGCCTTGGTACAACTGCAGCTTCTCAGACACTTCATCTAGTGGTCAGTTGTTAAGGGCAATATAATAGATGGCTGTAAGGTTTGGTTTATTTATAATTTTTCTCATTGCTGCATTTTCAACAAACAGTCTATTTCCTAAATGAGGTCAATACATTCTTGAACCAGAGATTTAAAAACATTTGAGAGATCTGTCAAGGTCTGGCTGCTTCTCAAATGATCTCAACAACCCCGATCTCTTAGATTTCTTGGTTGGACCAAGTGACATTCAGGGCTGAGGAGCAGCATGTGATTGTCTCTGCTGCTTTTTCCAGGTTGTCTTGAAAAGGTGCTAGGGATACAAATTGCCCACCAAAGAATAACTTTGAAAGAAAGCATCGGTTCTTTGTGATGAAGTACTCCCCTACATCAATTACAGTTTGAACAAGAGCACCTTTTACTGAAAAAAGCACATAGTCTCAAAAATTTCCAGTGATTAAAATCTTGGTAAATTGTCACCGTGATCAATCATGCTCACTTCTAAAAATTGCACCTTATGTTGAATCACACCTTGCCCAATTTCAACGTCCAGTTATTAGTTCCTGCCATGCCAGCTGAGGGCATTTAATCCAGTATTCACATTTGCTGTGGTACCACAGGGTTCACCACTTTCTCTTTTTTTTTCTTTTGTTTTTTTCACTCCCACATGCTTCTGAAATGCCTAATCCAGGGGCTGATCCCCTGTATCCCCTAGGGGATGTGGGCATGTGCATTTTATCTGTATCTTGATACTAAAGCCCTTCAATGAAATGTGAAAGCATAACGGTATTTGCAAGAACCAAAATTTTGCTCCCTAACATTTCTAAAATCACCATGAAAATACTTCCTGTTTTGAGGGGTGTTCCTCCCCTGCCTTATATCAGAACAGCTACCTCTAGAACACCAGTAAAGAGCTGAATGCAGAATATCATGTAAGAAAAAGGATATATTTTGTGGACAGAGCTTCAAGGCGTGAGGTGACTGAGTCCTGCAGGGCAGCTATGGCTTCGCACTTACAGGATTCTTCAGTTGTTGTAAGACTGCTCGTTACGGCTCCTAAGAGAGAAAACAGCATTTAGGATATTACGACAATTATCGACCATTTAAATCCCAGGAAAATGCTTGATCCTGCAACAGGAGTTGAACTCATGGTGTGAGACTAAAGCAAGCACCACAACCCAGGACAGTCGGGAGGGAGGGACGGCAGTGAACAGGGGCCGGTGAGCAGCCTGAGGCACGAGTGTCGTAGTCCAGAAACAGGACAGGCAAGAGAGAGCTTGACTCTAACTGAGGAGTAGGGAGACTGGGGAGTTCCTAGCCTGCCTACCTGGATCCTCTGCACTCTTTAAATTAGACCGTTATTGAGTAAAAAATACAAAGAGGCCTGGGTGCAGGGACCAACCAGCCTCCTCATCAACTCCGACTGCTAGACTAGAATGGATCTTCCCTTCGCTTGTTCTCTCTCCCTCTCATCCAGAATATCCCCCACCTCAAAACGTAAGGCACCCTGGGAAGTAGAATGAGTGTGCTCGTGATGCAGACTGAGAAGAACCTGCAGTCCCCATCTCCACCTTGTACACAGTACTCTATCAGACTGTCCACACAGAGGAAGGCCACTGGCATCACTGTAAATAGAATCTATAAAACTAGCTGTATTTAAGGCGATGACTAACTTGGGCTTCTCTTCAGTAGAATCATAGAACTGCAAAACAGTTTGAGTTGGAAGGGACCTTTAAAGATCATCCAGTCCACCCTCCCTGCCGTGGACAGAGACATCTTTCCCGAGACCAGGTTGCTCAAAGCCCCGTCTAACCTGACCTTGAACACTTCCACAAATTGGGGCACCCACAACTTCTCTGGGCAACCTGTTCCAGTGCCTCAGCACCCTCATAGGAAAGGATCTCTTCCTTATATCTAAATCTATCCATCTATTAAATCAAGGTTGCTGCCCTGTCACAGCTGGATTGTAATGGCATTTGGGGTATCAAATCATCACTCCCAAACACAGCACTTCTGAGGGTGCACTGAAGTCCAAAGTTAAGCCTCCAGGGAGTTTTGCAAGCCAAGCAGGAAGGCACCTAGTGATTTTAGGCACATAAGGAGTTAGTCAGTGTCAGAAATTGGTCAGTTTGCATCAGTTTCTGAGACTTGGGTGGCATTTAGATACCCAAGTCCTAGCTTGGGAAGGAATTAGAAGAACTGAATTTACCACTTGGTAAATAATACAAAAATGAAAGCAGGAACACATGTACTAATTTTAGATACTCAGCAACAGAGGTTCAGCTAAATCACCAATGTGTATCACCTTGCAAGTACTCTTGGTTTAAATGCAATATGCATGCATAGGGAGCATCATTTTTGATTCATCAGGAGGTGTGAACACAAGACCATTCCTATGTCACATGAATATGGATGGAGGGAACAACAATGTTCAAATGGGCCCAAATGAATTTAAAATCTGGCAGAAAGGCACAGCAATGTTAAAGGTGGAGCCAGTTTGTGTAACAGCGAAGTAATCAGTCTCTTAGGAAAGAGAAAACAAAGGCTGCCATACTCTGCAGTGATTCCATTGAATCTGTTCCTAGGTCTTGCCCTCAGTCTTCCAGACTTACTAGGGCCAGCCTTGGCTGTCCTCAAGAATTCCCTTTTCTCCATAATCCACCACAAAACCAGGGATGATCACAAGGGGCTCAGAGAGATGATTATTTGACTATAACACATCAGGCATCAGCTGATGGCTGCAAGTTCTTAGCTTCATGAAAGGCAATTTAACTTCACCTGCTCCATAAAGAAACTGAGAGCTAAGGCAAGCTGCACCGCTTGCTGCAGGCCAAGAGCAAACATATCAAGAGCTGCCGAAGCACCGCTATGGCAGTGAGATTACCGACTACGTCGGAGAGCAGAATAATAAGCTTCTAACGGCAGAGCCTCCTTAAAAGAGGCTCTACAATTACAAAATTCCCTTTTGACAAGTTATGAAGAAGGATTATTTGTATGTAATACCTGTCACTTTATACACGTGGTTTTGTGTCACTTGCAAAGGCAGTGACAGCAGATTATTGAATTATTTTTTTCTGTAGATATATAAATACATAGCTGATCAATGCCAAACAAATTATGTGAGCATTATAACAGTAAAACAATAGAAATGTTATACCTGGATACAATTTCTCTTTTTTTCTGAATTGTTTTGGTTTCTCTTTTTGCTTATTAATCATGCCATTGATATCTCCATTTCACAAGGAAACTGGCGGCTGCTTGAATTACAGAAAAATGACTGAAATACATCCTTTTCAAAAGGTTGTTCATTCAGTGTTTCACTGAAAAGATCTATGAACAGATTCATCCCTAGCAGAGCAGAAATTCACGTGTCTTAGAGCCAATGCTGAAACTGCTGTCTTCTTCATTCCACTGAACCTGTGTTTGTTCAGCTCCCTTCTTTGGACCATTCCACCAGCTTTATGGCTGATGTACAAAGAAGAGCTGTTCAAGATTCAGCTGGAGGAAGGCCAGTTCAAAATATCAGACCAACATGGTTGGTTTCCAACCAACTGCCAGTTAAGTTTTCATGTTTGCATTTAAGTTCCCCAGTGACAGAACCTCCTTGGATTATGACTGTTGTAATAAAATTACTTTTCCAACCAACTCTGGCAACTGCCCAAGGGTACCCTGAAGTCTTCTACAGTCCTTTTGTGAAATTTAAAGTCTTCCAGTATTTGATATTCAAATCTTCGGCATTCAAATTCCTGTTGCCACTGGGATGCCCAAGAAGTCATACAAAACATGCTAGATTTGTGTTTTTACACCACATTTATGTTTAAGTCCAGACCTACAAAAAATTACTATTTTTGCAGATGGTGTTTGGCTATTTCCACCTATTTTATAACTTTGCTCTTACATGCTTTTACATGCTCTCTTGGTCCTTAGCCACTTGATGTAATGGCAAGTTACTCCTGCTCTGAACCAGATATCAGACTAGTTACTTCTTGAGATCCCTTTCTACCCAACTTTACTTAGTTGATTCTACATCAAATGATGCAGAGGTTCTGCCAACAGTTGATGCCATTATTGCCCATGCAAAAGGGCAAGCAGTTGGTGAGTTCATGCCTGGCCCCCTCAGCTTGGAGGAGTGGACAAGAACACATGGTTCAGCATTGCAGAAGTTCTTCTGACACCAGTTCTGTTCCCCTCTGGCCCCCCACCATGCTGGTATGCAACTGAGTCCCATGCCCCAGAGACAGATGCCCCGGCACCCTGCCTTGCCAATCCCCCCCAGTTATTCCCATTTCATAAGGAAATGCGGATTATGACAGGTTATTCTTTTTTCAAATACAGTGAAGTCCTTAAACATGTGGAACGGGTTGCCCAGAGAGGTAGAGGAGGCCCCATCCCTGAAAACATTCAAGGCCAGGTTGGATGGGGCTCTGAGCAACCAGATCTAGTTAGCGGTGTCCCTGCTCCCTGCAGGGGGGTTGGACTAGATGGCCTCTAGGGGTCCCTTCTAACCCCAAACATTCTATGATTCTGTGTGGTGACAGGTAAGAGTCAACTGTAGTTTTAAATACAATAACTGCCATAACTAAACAAGAAGGATCAAACTAGCTCAAAACTTTAGTGGAAACAGGCAGAAAAGAATGAAAAGGGATTATACTTTCAGGGGGTCAGTGAGCTGATAGACCATTTCTCAAACAGACTAAAAGGATTTAAGACATTAGAGGTACTTCAATAAATATATTCAGAAAAAAATCCCCCAACATTAAATTCTTACTTGAGCATGTTTTCTCATCTGGATTTAAGGTAAAGCCTTCATAGCAGTCACAGGTGTATGATCCACCATTACTCACACAGACCTGCTGACAGTCATGGGTTCCTGGTGCACATACATCAGTTCCTACAGAATGCATTGTGGAGAAACAGTTATCCAAGAACAAGACAACATTTTTTAATGCTTCCCAAAGGCAATGCTTTTTCCATGCTGGGAGCCTATCCTACGTGAATCTTGACCAGGAACTACGGAGATGTTGTCCTGATTTCAGCTGGGATAGAGTTAATTTTCCTCCTAGTAGCTGGCATAGTGCTGTGTTTTGGATTCAGTACTAGAATCAAGTTGATAACACAGCGATGGTTTAGTTGTTGCTGAGCAGTGCTTACATCAGTCAAGGACCTTTTCAGCACCCCATGCTCTGCCAGGGGCACAAGAAGCTGGGAGGGGGCACAGCCAGGACAGCTGACCCAAACTGGCCAAAGGGCTATTCCAGACCACAGGACGTCATGCTCGGGGGGAGTTGGCTGGGGGGAGAGCAATCGCTGCCTGGGATGGGCTGGGCATCGGTCAGCAGGAGGTGAGCAATTGCATTGAGCATCACCTGTTTTGTATATTCTGTATATTCTATTATTATTACTTTTTTTCCCTCTACTGTTTTAATAAACTGTCTTTATCTCAACCCATGGGTTTTACCTTTTTTCCCCCTGATTCTCTCCCCCATCCCACTGAGGGAGGGGGGGAGCAAGCAAGTGGCTGTGTGGTGTCCAGCTGCCCGCCGGGTTAAACCACAACAGAGGTGTGACTGATCTGGCCTTGAGGCAGAAAGATGAACGGGTCGCCTCACTGGGGTCTCCCTCCGCCCCTCCTTTGTCCAGCCTGCGCTCGCTCTGACTGCAGTGGCCCAGCCCCACCAGACGTGAAGGGCCAAATCACCCCCAAAGGCAGGCTACAAAAAGTTTGCAGCACACAATAATGTTACAGTAAGGAGATCGGGAAGGGAAGAAACTTTTTAAAAAAAAAAAAATAAAAATCACATTTTTACTATAACACAAAGTTAGCTGAGAAGCTAAAGAAACAAACACCTACACCAACTTCAGCCTGGAGGGGAGGACACCACCTCAAACCGTCCCCTGCGTGGTGGTACGCAGTGTCCACCGTACTGCAGGATGCGTGGCTGACCCCAGCTCTTCCCTCTTCAATTATTTCTCAGTTCTGGGTTTGCTGAATATTGCATAATTGCAGTTTTTCAAATACAGTGAAGGCCTTGGTTATAAGGTGATAGAGACAGACCCAAATGGTAAGCAGTTCCTAGCATCACTGCATATAAAGTATCTTAAGGGCGAAGTCACGAGGACGGAGCCAGACTCTGCAGTGGTGCCCAGCAACAGGACAAGGGGCAATGGGTACAAACTGAAACATAAGAGGTTTCAGTTGAATATGAGGAAAAACTGCTTTACTCTGAGGGTGACAGAGCCCTGGAACGGGCTGCCCAGGGGGGTTGTGGAGTCTCCTTCTCTGGAGATATTCAAAGCCCGCCTAGATGATGTCCTATGTAACCTGCTCTAGGAGAACCTGCTTTAGCAGGGGGGTTGGACTGGCTGATCTCCTGAGGTCCCTTCCAACCCTTGCGATTCTGTGATTCTGTAAAGTGCTTTATATCTCCAAATGTTGCTCAAAGTGGCAAAGGCAGATGACACAGAACCGCCTTGTAACACCTGAATGCACGTGCAGCTTTCTCAAACAGCTCCAAACATATTAACCTGTGAATGAAAGCTATTTCAACGCGTGTACTTAGCTGGGGAGGGTACGGAGGGCTAGGGAACAGCAATCCGCTCTTACTTGAGCAAGTCTTCTTGTCTGGGTTCAGGGTGTAGCCTTGGTAGCAGGCACAGGCATAGACCAGGTCATCTCTCAGGCAGACCTGCTCGCAGTCGTGCCTCCCGGCTGCGCACATGTCGACAGCTAAGGCAGGCGTTTGAGAAGAGAGGAACATTAATCAATACCCGAACCTCAGCCTTTTTAGTTGCTGCTAGTAACTCCCATTTGCAAACTTATCTCCATTTGGATTCAAACCAAGATGTTTTCATCGCGTGTCAGCACGCTATTAGCCATAGTAGGGTATACAGAGTGTGGTTTTATCTGGCTAATCAGCATCACAAAATTAATACGATTTTTGGAATACTGGCAACACTTTTTTTGCAGTTGTAACAGATTGCAAAAGGAACGGAACTAGCAATGACCCAGTTACAAAATAATTATCCAAAGGAATTTCAGAGAACAAATATCTGGATTTTAAGAGACTATTTGGCATTATTTCAGCTCTAATTGAGTTGGATAAGACACCGTTTTATGGAGTGAAAGGATCATAAACAGAAGAGTATACATAGCTGCTAAAAAAAAAAAAAAAAGAGAGAGATGTGGCACCCGCTGCCAGTTACAAAGTGGGTACTTTATGTGTGAGGCTGATGTTTTCTGCCAAATTTAACACATCAACTCTGAAAGGGCAAGCTGAGAAGGAGTGCCTATATTTGGGTATCTTTGCAGAAGGGAAGGAAAGGAAGGAAAGGAAGGAGAAAGGAAGGAGAAAGGAAGGAGAAAGGAAGGAGAAAGGAAGGAGAAAGGAAGGAGAAAGGAAGGAGAAAGGAAAGCAGAGGAAAGCAGAGGAAAGCAGAGGAAAGAAACAAACAGAAAAAGATAGAAGGAAGGAAGGAAGGAAGAAAAAGAAAAAGAAAGAAAAAAGGAAGGAAGAAAAAGAAAGAAAGGCAGGAGCCCCTCCTGCACCTCATCCATTTTTATTGCACCACAAAGACCTGGATGGTTGAGAAATCATTTGCGGCATACTGCAAAATGAGATTCAAAAGGAAAAAAAAAAAGCAGGCACACTGGGGAAATAATCTGAAATTTGACTCTGCAGGGGGGGAATCCATGCTATGAAAGGGGGTTTGGGACTGGACTCTCAAAGGGAATGCCTAACTGAATTCACATCCCCTCACAGACGTTTACTGCATCTATATAATGCCAGCTGAGAGTTAATCTTAGGAACTGCATTTACAAAATCAGCTCCTGAACTAGGCAGGAGGAATTTTTGAGGCCCTCTGGCTTCACCTCTTTGAGATGAGAGACATATGTGACATATATGACTTAATTGGAGAGATTCACCTAGGCACCTCCTGGAATTGGAAGCCTTGGTTCAGTGCTTTGTCACACAAAATGCAGTAAGGAAAGGGATTATGATGGAAGTGGAAAAAAGCATTTTGCATTAATAAATCATCAGTGAGACATCCAAAGAAATTAAGAGTGAAGTTCAAATCCTAATCAAGTGAAAATAATATAGAATACATGTTAATTTGTAGGTACTATATACTTGTCTGTACACCCTTAAGAACCAGCTGCATCTATGCTCCTGTTGTCTGCAAGAGCCCAGCACTGGGAAAGAACATTCCCCTCCATCCTCTAGAGCTCTAAGGCTGGAGTGTTTTTTAAGGTCCAAACACATCCACCAGAAAGAGTGATCACACACATGATGCATGGGTCTCAACTTATTACTGCAAACTCGTAGAAAAAAAGTTGCAGTGTGTTTTCAGGAATTGTACAGAAACTCTTGGATAATTTGTCAGAAAAGTAACATAAACGAACCTGATTTTTTTTAAAGTTACTTGGTTTTAGCTGAACACAGTATTTCCTTGATTGGGTCTTACCTGAGCAAGTCTTCTTATCTGGATTCAGAGTGTAACCTTCAAAGCAGCCGCAGCTGTAGGATCCATCATTACGCAGACAGACTTGGGCGCAGTCGTGCCTGCCAGGCGCGCACATGTCCATGGCTGTGGTGAACCATGGTTTAGAGAAGAAAGCTATCAATCCCTCCCAGACACTCAAGTGTTTTAAATGCTTCAACATTTATAAGTACAATTTAATTAGGATTCAAGCTAGGGTTCAAGCAATGCCCTACCACATTATTATATCATGCTGCAGACAACTGAGTTCAGTTGCTCATTAATTAATTCAGGAGGCAGATATCCGGACTGCAAGACATTACTGTACCACATCTCACGCAATCTGATTTTCAATAGCAATTCTACCAGCCCAGCATATCCCCAGTAAGGATGAAGCAAAAGGACCATACTAAGGTGAGCAATAACCTGCCGTGTGTCAAGGCAGAAGTTGTTTCTTGCAATCTTAGCAGTACCTATGGTGAATCCAAATTTAACTTCATACTTTCATCCATGAGCTGAAGGCAGGCACAAAAAGCCGGGCATGATATGTAGAAATGCTATTAAATGGCAAAGAGATATAAAGCCCAGAGAGAACAAAAGCAAACAAAAAGACCCAAAAAAAGTAGGAGCACCAGAAGATGATGTTCTCTCTTCAGAAATAAGAAGAGTGCAAACCTCAGGGAGAAGAGTACTTATGTGCTCTCAAAGGGAGGGGTGCACTTACCAGTTATAAAATAGCTACTCTAAGGCTGGTGCTGCTCAAAACTTCTGGATTTAAAGAAAAAACTCCAGAGAAGTATTTGGGGGGAAAAAAGGTTTTATAATAGGCTAACTTTTCAGGGTGAGAATTCAGGAAGCTGCTGCCAGTGTAAGACTGGGATTACTGTATTGCAGCTCCCTGCACAGCTTGGAAACAGCAGCAGGAAGCTGTAAAAAGCCAATTCGTTTGGACAGGAGAGATGGAGAGGACAGGGGAAAATGTCAGGTTTTACGCTGGACTACGGACTAGTGGCACTCAGTCTCCAATGGAGACAACAGTGCTGGTGGGCATCTCTGGAATAGGCTCATCCTCTCCCAGGGACTAAGCGCTGTTCATGAAGTACTGTGAAGACCATAAAACGGTAGGTAAGTGCCAAATTGTATTTTAGAAAATAACGCATTTAAAGAAAAATGCAATTTTAGTGTTCCTGGAACCAAGGCGAAAGTGTACAGGTGAAATCTTATTTTAAGAGTTGAGGTCTGTAAGCAATTTTTCAATTAGAAACAATGAAGGTAACTCACAGAAAACATGACCACGTCTTCATGAGCTTCATAGAATCACAGAATCATTTAGGTTGGAAAAGACCTTTAAGATCATCAAGTCCAACTGTTAACCTAACCCTGCCATCCCACCACTAAACCATGGCCCTAAGCACCTCGTCTACCCGTCTTTTATCTTTTCATATGTTGTAGTAGCCTTCCGTTCTTACCTGAGCAAGTCTTTTTATCTGGATTCAGGGTGTAGCCTTCGTAGCATTCACAGACATAGGATCCGTTGTTGCTCACACAGATCTGATCACACTCATGCCTTCCAGGTGCACACATGTCCACAGCTGTGAGACCGACGTTGGAGAAACAATTCATTGTTAATAAAACATAGTTGGGGTGGAATCCGTATTCACCGTTTCAAATGTATTTCTCTTTGGGATCAGCTTGGAAATGGCAACAGTAATTGAAGGAGTTTGAGTAAGTGGTAGGAGAAAATCTCTACACAGTGCCTACATCTGCAGACTTTGTTTTGGCATCTGGCCCTAAGGAATGGTTCTGTAGGCATAATAAAAAGGATGGTGATGGAATCAAAATACTTCTCACCATTACTTGCAGTAGACTGATTTATTTATCTATTATTTATTATTATTGAAGGAGATACAGATGTTCCCTGTTTCAACAGAAGTACGCGAGTAGCTTCTCAAATCCAATTATGGTGTTAAAAAGTTGGGGTTTTTTTTGTCTAGCTGAACACCTTTCCCGAAGGAGCAATACCTGAGCAGGTTCTCTTATCTGGATTGAGAGCGTAGCCTTCATAGCAATCGCAAAGGTAGGATCCGCCGTTCCTCACACAGAGCTGCTCGCAGTCGTGGGTCCCAAGCGCGCAGGCATTCGCAGCTACAAAGGGCGTTTACAGAAAAGGCGGTTCAGTCATCCCAAAGGAGAGAAACGGTCATTAATAATTTATGCTTACAAAAGTACATCTTGAACTGTTTGCCGGATTAGTCTTAGTACATGTCAGTGCTGTGTCACCGTCACAGAAGTTAGAGGCATCTTTTGCATCATTCTGTAGGCAGAAGAAAGAGGTCATCAACCACGCTGGAACAACTGCACTGAAATAACTCACCACCTGCGGTGGCAGAAAGATGAGATGAATCTGAAAAGGGTACAACAGGGAGAAGGAGAGAGAGATTTTAAGCATTTAGGAACATTACGTTGCCAATGAGAACTCAGCAATGAAAGGACCTTCCGGCTTATTGTATCCAGTCCCCTTCTATTACAGACGACCAGTTTAAATAGTCCCCAAATGTACCAGTCACCATCTGGCAGATTACTGACTTCTGCTCACTGGCATACAACCTCCTGCTGCACTGTAAAAATCTCCCATGTAAGCTGAAATGTGACAGAAAGCACAATAAAAGAAATTAAATTAATAAAATAAAATAAATAAATAAAAATAAAGTGCAATAGAGAAAGCATCAAGACCAGGAGGAAAAGAAAGACGGCTCAGAGTCACTAAGATCACACAGTGTCTTCTCAGGGACGAAGAGAGTGTCTGCGTAACGATGGTCCAGATGTATCAGCCAGCAAAGAAACCCCCCAGTGGAAGATGGGTATGTGAGGGCTGCAGCCGCCTTGTTCCAGCAGTTTAGAAAGTCAAGACCGAAGGGGGATAGGGAGGAAAGGTTCCACAGCAAGGTAGCTTTACAGGCACGTGAGCCTCCTAACTGAAGGACAGTGCAGAAATAATGTCCAAACCTCAGAGAGCTGAGAAGCTGAAACTGCGAACTACATGAGATTGAATTTTTGGGGACCAGGTAATCCCCCAGCAGACAGTATAAGGCTGTCTCATCAGACCAAGAAAACAGGGATACGAAAAGCAGCGTGCTGGATGGCAGGGGATAGAAGCGCGTCGTGGTGAGAGGGCAGGCAGAATGGCTGTTGTAACCCTGCGCTGCCTCTGTGTGTGCCAACAGCCTCTGCCTTCCCAGACCATCTAAGTAATTAACTAATTAACTTCTGACCAGTTTTTCCCAAGTGTATTTAGCTTTGGATCTGCTGTCTCTTTGGGTATCTCAAGATGCCTCTGTTTCTCTCCACAAACTGTAAAGGAATCCTAGATACTCACTTAAACTTAGATGATTTTTAGATTATTAAATTTAGATGAGATGAAAAAGGGAAGGGGAGAGAAAAGAGGGCAGGGGAAAGTTGGCGGAAAAAAGGGTGAAGGAGAAAAAAAGGGGGAAAGGAAGGAAAGAAAAAAGGTTCCTCCATACAAAAGGGAAAAGGAGAAAAATGGGAAGACATTTCTGTTATTACCAGAGATTTTACTTAGATGAGTAGTTATGATGTGGATATTGACTACTGGTAAAATCAAACTCCAAGGCAATAGCGGTGAGGTAAGAAATGAGAAGCAAGAGTGCTTGAATCTTCTTACGTATTTATGAATGCAAGGCAACATTGCCCATGTTCTAAAACATGGAAAATTTAGATGTCCCCTACTAAGGCAGATACAAAGTGTGTCTTGTATTTCCACTGGCAAAAACAAATCTCAAACCAAGACAGTGCCTTTTCATTCAGCTACACCCTTGGGAGCAAGAGAATTCATCTCCGTGACTTAAGAACAAAATCTGTGGGTGATATTTTCACCCGTAACTGGGAAGCTCAGGCTCAAACAGTCAGATTTTTGTGGTAGGAAAGTCAAGCTTCCACTGACTTGGACACCAATTCACGGCCAAGATTTTCCGTCTCCAGGATGGTCTCATGTTGAATGATGCTCTCAATGCATCAAGAACTTGATCTCAGCCAGCTATTTTGTCCCTGCACATTAGTTGTCCTGTTTTCAGTTCACCCTACAAACAAATTTATTTGGCTTGGCCAAAGCAAAGAAAATCCTAATTGTCACTGGTGAGGCTAGATTTCTGACCAAAAAGCAGCCTGGAGCTGGAAAAGGCCCAGTTTACCCACACTGTCTTACAAGACCCTCTTAGATTCATAGAATAGAATCATAGAATCATAGAATAAAAGACCTTTAAGACCATCAGGTCCAACCATTAACCTAACACTGCCAGGTCCACCACAAAACCATGGCCCTAAGCACCTCGTCTACCCACCTTTTAAATACCTCCAGGGATGGGGACTCAACCACTTCCCTGGGCAGCCTGTGCCAATGCTTCACAAAAGCATTCATTTGGTTTGTAGGAACCTTTTGAAAAACTATGCCCTTTACCCCATGTTTGCCCACGAGCCCCACAGATTCTGGCTCATGGCGTGCTGGCAACTTGGAGTTACACGGGAAGCGTCCATGTACGAGCTCTCTTTGGTTTGGCCTCCAGCTTAGTAGGGCCGCAACTCCTGTGCTTCGGTACAATAAACAGTACATTCACTCTGAAGAACAACAGATGTTTCTCTGGTGCTATGAAAGGACTCGCTTTGGCGAGAACATAGGTGGAAAATTAGTGCTATGTTCACAGCACGCATACCTGCCCAGCGAGGTGGGCACTTGTACCCACCTCCAGCTACCAGAGAGAGGATGTGGCCACATCAGCAACACAACACGATGTCAAGCCAAACCTCAAGGCATTTCCTGCGTTAATTATTGGACAAAGTGTCCCGTCTACAGATGGTCCTACACATTTACTTCATACCTAGGAAAAGAGGTCTATTCACTCTAAACGTGCTCAAAAGGTACGGTGGCAGTGTTTAATACGGTTCTGCAATAACGAACACATTGCCAACCAAGTTCCCAAGGCAATGGCTGTTATTTTAATTGTCTTACAATGTTCTTTTCAGCTGGTTTTACCCATTACTTGCTGGAGACTTATTTCACAAGTAATTTCCTCAGAAGCTTACTAGAAAAATCTACTTCACACAAGTTTTTTAATTGTCAAAAAGTCATCGTTTGATTTTTGTGGGTAGGGCTGTGGCGTTGCTATCTATAGGCAGTTCTAAATACTCCAGATACATGACCTTTTTTTCTTCTCTGTAAATGACAGTAACAACCTACACTGGCCTAGCATCATTAGTGGAGTTCTAGCCCAAACCAAATATACATCCAGCATTTTTCCAAAACCAGCCCTCAAAGAGCAAAGCTAATTCAACCCATCCAACAGGAAGTGCAGATAGAGCTCCCTGTCTAAATCAAGTTGCAGAGAAACAGAGAAAGGTGCGAGTCTGGCACGCTGAAAAAGCCCAGCAATGCCTGCAGAGTGAAAGCCCGTCCCGAGTTGACCTGCTGTTGTGTTTGGGCACTTTGTCCCGCACCAAATTTCTCAAGCTAGCGTGGCGGCTCACCCACCACGCTGATTTTCCTATTCCGAATCTATAAGGAGCCCTTCAGAACCACACTTCCACCCTCCTTCCTTCCCAGCCAGATGGGAAAAGAAACGAGCAGACTGCACAGCTCCGGTGTGTGCTCTTGGTTAACTCAGTAAATACACACAGCCAAATCCCAGCCAGATTGCCGTGCTCCCTCTTGCACTAAATCAGACCAACTGCACAAGGAGGTCCACTGAAATCAAGTCTGTAACTGGCATGGTAAGGTCACTATTAAAAATGAAAGGTCGTTACTTGGCCTCCAGTGAATAAAAGGGTTGACTTGTTTGCCCAACAGGTAGCAAAGGAAATATTTAAATGTGATACATAACACTTCTCAAAAAGAAACTTCTTTCTTAGGTAGTGGAACCACAGTAGGAGCCAAAAGGAGCCAAATTACGCTACCCTCTTGGACCGACCAGCTTACCACAGAAAGTCTCCCTGAATTTGGATGTCAGCTTTTCGATCACACCATAGGTCTCCACATAAAAGACATGTTCATCCAGTGGTTCGCTGGCCATTATCCTCAGGGACTGCATGTCTGCCCGGTCTACCCCAACTGCGTAGATCTCAATGCCGGCTGCCCGGGCGCTTGCTGCCACATCTTGAACCTGGTCTTGTGGTCGTCCATCTGTCACAACAATGACCACCTTGGGGATATTGAAGGTCGCTGGCCGGGTGCCCATTTCCTCAGTGAAGACTTCATCCATGGCCGTTTGGATGGCGAGGCCGGTCATCGTGCCAGCAGACAAGGGCTCAATGTGAGACACTGCCTCCTTCATAGATGCTTTATCAAAGTAGGTCCGGAGGGGAAACTCTACCTTGACAGTGCTAGCATAATTCATGACCGCCACACGGGTTGTTCTTTCACCCACGTCCAGAGTATCAATCATTTTTGACAAAAAGATTTTCACTTTCTCAAACTCTTCAGGTCGGACACTACGGGAACTGTCTATGATGAAGACGAGGTCTAGGGGCCGGTTCTTGCAGGCAGTGTCTGTCAAGAGGGAAGGAAAACACTTCAGTCATCTCCTATACAGGGCTGGAGTTCTCACCCTGGGGCAGTGAGAGCTGTCATGGCAAAGTTCTCCTACCAGATAAATGCCGGCACTTGATTCTCTAGGAAGGGGCTTAAAATTATAGTGAGCAACACATTATTTTATATATATGTCATACAAATATATACATAAAATAGATATGTGGTTAATATGTTAAATATATATTAGTATTATTCTAGAAATTCTTAAATGTTCATTTTGACAAGTAATAAATAATTGAGCTTTTCTGAGCATTAACAGATGCGTCCACATTTGAGCCCATGAAATGTCTAACTACCCTTGAAACAACGGGTTGTAGTTTGCCTGTAACAGCCAACACAGAAATGTAGCAATGATATATAAATGTACTTACTTTTTATTTTTATACAGATAAAGCCCGAATTCCATTTTTATAAGCTACAGAAACAAAATGGTAAAACAACTGGCGAGATTACATAGTGAACAGATCCTAACAGAATTTTTTACGATAGCTACAATATAGATTGCTCATTAGGAATTATTTCTTGTTTGTAATTCGCAATCCAAACTACACAAGAAGAAGAAATAAAGGCCAACAGGAAAAAGAGGCAAACGATGCTGTGATAAAGGCTTCTTTAGAAGTTGTTACTATTTAAAAGGCTTCTAGAGCAGAGAAAAAATTGAACTTACTATTTATGATGCAATTTTGCATGTAAAAAATGAACACTTGCACAAATATTTCTAGTTTCTAAGAGTCCTCACTGAAATATCAATCTAGACTGAAAAAGAAAAGCCATAGCTCAGATCAGAGACAAGCGCTGCTCCTAGGAAGATGAAAAATAATCAGGACAGCGATAGCAGGCACCCTGAGCTGTACGCTCTGTCCTGACGCCCAGGCACTGACGATACCAGCAAGGTATGGCTTTGCACTGCTGCTTTATGGGAAACAGATAACCCAAAAGCACAGCATTTCTACAGACATTCCTAATTAAATAGCAAAATGTGAGGTGTTCCAGTTCGAATATGCTCCCTGAAGGGCTGTTCTGGGAACATGGCACAGCTTTCCCAGGTACTGTCGGGTTGACATTCATTATTCCATTCCAGTTAAAAAAAAAACCGATAAAATTCTCTACAAGTTTCTTGAAAGTAGAGGTGGAAACTGCACTTGTTTTTCAATGCATTAAAATTTTTTTTTCAATGCATTTTTTCTCTTGTGCAAGCAAAAAGGGAGGGAGAAAATCAAACTGCACAGATACATCTTAACTTGCATGAGGAAACACAGCAGTAGAGTTGATTGTGCCTTCAGACCAAGTAACAGACTGGACAAATCGATCTATATATAATAAAGATACTATATATATAATAGAGATATTATATATATTACATATATAATAAAGGTATTATATATAATTCTGCGTGCATCCCATAACTCAGTTTTTGCATAAGGATTTAGAAAAATGGCTTTGTGCCCTTTGGAATGCTGAGAAAACACGAAGAAACATCTGTGCATGCATGTGCAGCTCAAGACACAGAAGAAACACGATGTTTGTCCTACAGAAAAAGGCCCCGTCCCCGATTTCCAGGCAAAATTATTTTTTTTTAGATTAGGAAAAAAAAAAACCCAAACAGAACTTTTCAGCAGCCTGAACCCTCCGTGAGCCTGACAGAGATGTTTCGAGGCGTGAGCACAGGTAGGGAAGAGCTGCTTAGGGTTTAGCGATCAGCAAGGCCAGCTTTGCGTTCAAAAAGAAAGAAGCGGTGGGTACTGCTGCCGCCACCGCCC